TCCTATGCAGTGGCCTTACCAGTGTTCTTTTTCAGGTACTGAATCGCACTGAGGTCTATAAAGTACTGTTTAAGAAAGAAAAGCTTGTAATACACTTACTTATGGTATTGATGATTTTCAGTATTCATGGATTTCATTTCCTGTTGCCCAAGAGGTGGGTTGATTGGGTTTGGGAATTCACATGACTTTTGTAGAACTTAGCCCTGGAACTGCTATCTTGCAAAGCTCCAAGAGTGTCCCACATGCCCATCTCTTGCAGTTTGCTTGTTGTATTGCGTTCCCCATTAGGATGATGCTTTGTCGGTGATGAGAGTAGAATGGCTGCTCTGGGACCGAGAATTGTGACTGGGAACGTGTGCTGTTACAGTGCCCAGATTGGAGCACAGTATGGGAAGTCAGAAGTGGCCCTTGACTTCAGGGCTACTTTCCAGCTTGCTTATTGTCTGTCTGCTATTTGTAGTAGTTATAAGAAAAAATATAGTAGGGTATTTCTGGCTGTATGCTACCATCTTACCTAGGGATTCATGTTTTAGAAAGGTAACTTAGGGATAAATTTTCTAAAGTTTATGGCCAAGAAACCTTGCCTAATTATTTTCATTATGTTCATTCTGCACTAGTGTCTCTCCTTGCTTTGGTATGAGTAGCTGTCATTATATTTATGGGTTAAGATAGGTTAATTACCTCTGTAGAGATTCCCCTAAGAAGTTTCATGTATTACAGAGTTCTTTCTTTGAGGTGACTTAGAATATTCTTACTGAGCTAGTCATGATGGTGCACACCTGCAGTCTTAGCAGTTGGAGAGGCAGAGGCAGGCAGATCTCTGTGAGTTCGAGGCCAGCCTAGTCTACAAAGTGAGTCCAGGACAGCCAAAGCTACACAGAGAAGCCCTGTCTCAAAACCAACAGTAACAACAACAAAAAGAACATTCTGATTATTTCGTCCACGCCTGTTAGTGCATTATTGTTGGACACAGAGCTTGTCAGTGTTTCTGTCCTCACATTGTTTAGCGCCTTCTTGCTCTGGTGGCAGATGAAGGGCTCTGAGTTGAAAGCTTGATTGTGAGTTCCCGTGCCTGGACTAGTTCTCCCTTTAAAAATCATTTTCTTTTCTGCATGTGCCTCTGTGGGTCTGTGAGAAGATGCTGGTGTTTGCGGAGTGGCTGCACTGAATGTGTCTTATCAGCTGATGCGCAAAGCCCATGCCGGCTTTTCTAAGAACACTGTGTGTTTTCTATCTGTTTTGTATGACTTATGTGTGCTTCAGGAGGATTGGGAGTTTGCTGTGTGTGAGTATTGCACAGCTTTCATTAGGACTTTCCTGAGCACTTGTAATCTGTACTCTGGGTAATAGTGCACATTCTTTGTGTGTGTGTGTGTATTGTCACATTCACTCTCTTTTTTAAGATTGATTTATTTTTATGTGCGCTGATGTTTTGTCTTATGTATGTCTGTGTGAGGGTGTGAAATCTTCTGGAACTGGAGGTGCAGAGAGTTCTAAGCTGCTATGTGGATGCTGGGAATTGAACCCTGGTCCTCCAGAAGAGCAGCCAGTGTTCTTAACTGCTAAGCCATTTCTCCAGCTTCACTTTGTCACCTTCTTAAAAGTTCCTTGTATATTAAGTCATAAGTCATAAAAATGTCTATCAGATTACATTGCAATGAATTAGTAGCTTACATAAAAAGCAAAAGAATACAAGCCCTCTATACTTAGAAATGTAATACTTTCTGATGAAACAACTTCTGATATAAAGAGAAGTACAAGCTAAAAAATATTGTAAAAATTAAAATGCCATATATTCATGGCATGCAGTTAAGAAATAATCAAAGAAAAATTAGTTGCACTAAACATACTAGTTTAAAAATTTTCAGAATTAAAAAATTTAATAAATGAGACCAAGGCCCCCCCCCCCCCAGCTTGTTGGATAGAGAAGTATTTAGGTCAGTTTTGTTTAAGGGATCTGGGTGCAAGTAAGATTTCTGCACTTCCTAGACTTAGGAGTGTTGGTACCGGACACGATACTAAATTCTCTGTGTGTATTATTACACCTAGAAAAACCACAATAGGAACTACACAGTCATGCACTAAAAAACATTAGTCATAAAATTAAGGTGGGGTTCTGAAAATGTACATGTAGCTCACAAGAAGTCCTTAGACACCAGATAAAAACTGAGAAAGTAATTAAAAAAAAAAATTCTCTACCTTAACGTGGTGGCCTAGAATAGAAGAGACTCTCTTGGGGCTGGAGAGATGGCTCAGTGGTTAAGGCTATGGGCTGCTCTTCTAGGGGAGCTGGGTTCAATTCCCAGCACCCACATGGCAGCCCACAGCTGGGCAACTCCAGTGCCAGGGATCTGTGGCACCAGGGCGGGTATATGGTACATGCATACATATGCAGGCAAATACTTACGCATAAAATAAAATATGTAAATCTTTAAAAAAATATCTAAGCCATTCTGACAGCTATTAGGTAGAATCTCAGAGTTGTTTTGATTTGCATTTTTATGATGACTAAGGACCTTGAACTTTTCTTCAGTGCTTTTCAGCTATTAGAGATTCTCTGTGGAGAATTCTCGGTTTAGCTATATACTCCATTTTTTAATTGGGTTATTTGGTTTGTTGATTTTTAATTTCTTGAGTTCGTTATATATTTTGGATATTAGCCCTTTATCGGACATAGGCTTAGTGAAGATCTTTGTCTAGTCTGTAGGCTGCCCCTTTGTCTTAATGATGCTATCCTTTGCCTTACAGAGGCTTTTCAATTTCATGAGGTCCCATTTATTAACTGTTGCTGTTAATAGCCTGAGCTGTTGTTGTTCTGTTTGTGAACAGAAGTCCTCTGTGCCAGTGTGTTCTAGGCTCCTCCTTACTTTCTCTTCTATTAGATTTAATGGATCTGGTTTTATGACTTAAGTTTGTGTCTTGTCCACCAGAAGTATAGGGATAAAGATGGAACAGAGATTGAAGGAATGGCAAACCAATGACTGACCCAACTTGAGATCCACCACATGGGAGAGAGCCAACCCCTGACACTGCCATTGATATTCTGCTGTCCTTGCTGACAGGAACTTAGCATAACTGTCATCTGAGAGGCTTCATCCAATAGATAATAGAAACAAATACAGAGACCCACGGCCAAATATTAGGCGGAATCCAAGGAGTCTTGTGGAAGAGTTAGGGGAAGACTTGAGGGAGTTGGAGGGGTCAAGGACTCCACAAGAAGACCTACATAGTCAACTAACCTGGACTCACTGGGGGCTCGTGGAGACTGAGCCACCAACCAAATAGCGTGTATGGGCTGCTCCTAATTTGTATGTGTAGGCTGCATACAAAGCAGATGGGCTGCTTGGTTCTCAAGTGGGTCTCCTTACCGTTGGGGTGATGGCTGTGTCTGGCTTGGACTCTCTTGCCTCCCTCTGGATCCTGTTTCCCTAGCAGGGTTGCCTTGTCTTGCCTTGGTGAAAGAGGAGGCAACTTAGTCCTGGTGCGACTTGATGTGACAGGGTGGGTTGGTCTTGGGTTAAGGGGATATGGGAGACATAGGTGGGTGGGTGAGGCTGGGAGGGGAGGATAGAGTGGAGTTGCACTTGGGATGTAAAATGAACAAATAAATCAATGAAGAAAAAAAGAAAAGACTGTCTTTCAAGGTGATTTGTTTGTTTGTTTGTTTTTTCGTTATTAAGATGATCAGCAGCTCTCTAAAGACATGCTGCTGTGAATTCTATTCTCCTGTTCCTGAGTGTCCTTTTGCTTTACATATACTTCAGGTATGGGAAGACTTTACCAGATGTTGATAATATAAAGAAGTCAGTTTCCAGGTCATGGTTTTTATTCCTCTTCCCTCCCTTGTGTTATAGAAGGCTCTGTCCTCACTGTTTGTCCTTCAGCATGTGACCTCCCTGTACTGTTTTCATGCTGTGTAGCCCAGAGCATGCCACCAGCTCTGAACACCCACTTGAAGGGTTACTGATTCCCTTCTCCTGTTTTCTGAGGATGCTTGGGATCCTCCTGGCTCAGCCCCTGGGGCTAGGATCCCAGTGATGTGCCACCACCCAGCTGAGATGACTTCTTGGAGACGACTGTGCATGGCGCCTTTCTGCCCTTGCTTGTATTTCTGTTAGCAGTGAAGAGGTGCTTTAGAAATGGGGCGACAGGGAATTCTGAAACCAGACGTTTCAGGCAGATGGAAAGGTGGTAGTTTTCTCTTTAATACTCAGTCCCGTCTTGTCCGTTCTCCCAAGCACTGAGAGATCATACCTTGCTTTTGAGAGAGACTACAGTGTAGTCCAAACTCTGCCAACAGTGTGTGCGAGTGTGCAGTGGGAAGGTGGGTCCGCGGCATGGCAAGCCACTTCTGTCATTTGCCTTAGGTCCTGGTTCCTGGAAGTGGCTCCCAGCAGTTCTGTACTGTCACACAGGCTTCGACTATAGGACACTTTGACTTTGGTTGGTGGTCACACCTAGAGATGGTGCTGTTCTCTGTGGTGCTTTATAGGGAAGACGTTCCTGACCTCTAGTCAATGGAATTTTTTATCGTGTATTTCCCCAGTGATGTTAATAGTCTTCTTGATTCTTGTGGGCTTAAGTTTCTTTTATCACAGCCTTGCCTCCCGATATCTTTTGTTGTTAGAATTATATGGGCTTTGTTGAGACAGCCTCAGTTGTTAGCCTTGGCTTGCCCACAATTCACTGTTTTGATTGTCACTCAACTTCAGTGAGTGTTGAACTACCACACCTCACTCCCAGTATATATTTGTGGTTTGTTTTTATTTCATCACAAACTGTGAAAAAAAAAAAAAAAAAAGCAAATGTGATATAAAATTGTATACTGAAGCAATCATTAGACAAAAATCATTGCCAGTCAAGCATGGAAGCTATGTATTTTTCATACACTCTGGATGTAGTCATGTGCTTCTTTCACCCCCACACCATTTCAAGTGCATTTTTGGTTTGCAAAGCAACTAATTTAAACATACCTTTTGTCTTTTGTTTTTTTTTCCCAGAGGGAAGTGTAACATCTCCCATTTTTCTGACATATTTGCTGCTCGAGAGTTTAAAGCCCGAGTGGACTCATTTTTCTACATACTAGGCTACAACCCTGAAACAAGGTAAGTCAGTCACTTATGGCCATTTCCTTTTCTCACTTACATGTTTTTGTGCTTGTGCATTTACACTTCTGTACTTACTTAAGCTAGTAAGGTTCCACAAAATGACTCAGAGCCTATGTAAACCTCATAGTTGGCTCGTTCAGCATTTACTATAGATTGTTGTTTTGTTTGTTTTTACTTTTGTTAGGCAAGAAAAAGTGTGGAAATGAGGGTGTACAGAGGAAGGGTAAGGATATAACACAGCTGTTCGTCTGTGCTTTGAATTTACTGGTAGATCGTTTCCTTGATACACACTTTGTCAAGCCTTACATAATGTGTTGGAAAAGAACGAGTCAGTTTGGAAAGTATATTAGATACTTTTTGTTGAGTTTATTTCTGGTAATGAGGTCCCAAGAACACTCAACCAGGGTCTGGGGAGACTAGTAGTAGGAAATGAGTAGCACCCTGTTCTTGCCATCTTGGTTAGGTATGCATGAGTGACAGAATAAAAATTTACATGAAGGCCAGTGTGGCTACAAGAAATACACTTCACTAGCCTGAAAGTAGAAGATGGCCCTAGACACTATTAGCTTTAACTTCAGCCTAAAGTCATCTGAAAGGAGAGCCTCAGTTGAGGAATTTCCTGGGTCAGATTGGCCTGTGGGCATGTCTGTGGGGAATTGACTTAATTGTTCATTGATGCTGAAGGATCCAGCTTGCTGTGGGGGTCTCCGTTTCCTGGGCAGGTGATCTTGGGCTGTATAGGAGAGTTAGATAAGGGTGTGGAGAGATGGCTCAACAGTCGAGTGCTTTCTGTGCTTACAAGGACCCAGGTTTGTTTCTAGCACCCATAGGGTGGCTCATGACCACCTTTAACTTCAGTTACAGAAGACCTCAAACCCTTTTCTAGCCTCTGTAGACTTCTGCATGCACATGCTACACATTAACTCATGGGCAAACATAAGTACACATAAATAAAATTAATTTAAATGCCTAAATAAGTCTTCAAAAAGACAGAAAAAAAAGAAGAGAAAGCTATGTCTTCACGGTCCCTGTTGTCTATACTTCTTTGGCTATGAATTGAGTTTCCTGGTCAGAGTCACTGCTTGTGTAGAATGGTAAGCAGGCTTGCTTTAAGTTTCTTTAGTGATGATCTGAAGTTATGAGCTAAAATAAACCTTTTTCCCCTAAGTTCCTCTTTGTCAGAATGTTTTATCACAGCAAAAATGGAGCCAAAACAACTGTCAGTGTGCCAAGTAACTGCAAGCTGAAAACAAGCAGGGATAGCTCTGATTGCTCTGATAAACAGAGGCCAATCCCAAATTAGAAGAGATGAAGGTCCCTATGTAGTAACAGGGAACAATCCATTTGGAGACTTTGTTATTGTTGTTGTTTTGAAGATAGAAACCGTTTCTCTGTAGCACTGGCTGTCCCAGAATTCACTCTGTAGACTAGGCTGGCCTGGAACTCATAGAGATCCACCTGCCTCTGCCTCCTGAGTGTTGGGATTAAAGGCTTGTGTCTCTACACCATGGTTATAACAGCTGCAAATAGATGTTCACTGAATGTTGAGGCTAAAATAACCACTGCTGCACAAAAAGGTCCACATAGGCCAAGATAAAAACGATAATGCGCAACATTTATCTATTTATTTATTTATTTATTTATTTATTTATTTATTTATTTATTTGTTTATTTATTTATTTATTTAGGTTTTTGGGTTTTGGGGACAGGTTTTCTCTGTGTAGCTTTGACCGTCTTTGAAGTTGCTTTGTAGACCCGTCTGGCCTCAAACTCAAAAAGAGATCCACCTGCCGCTGCCTCTGCTTGTGAGCCACCGCCCAGCTAATAATGGGTGGTTTTTAACAGCTCACTGTCCTTAATGAATAGGTCACCTAGATCCCCCCTCCCCACTCCCCATATCATCAAAGAAACTTCAGAATTAAAATTGCAACATAGAGCAAATGGACTTAACAGATACCTATAAAACACTACATCTAACAATGGCAAACAAGCAATCTTTTCATAAACAGATCACATTTTAGGTCATTAAAGAAAGCCTAACAGGGGCTAGAGGGGTGTTTGGCAGTTTAGAGTACTTGGTGCTCTCACAGAATACAGATTTGATTTGCAGCAGTCACATAATGGCTTACAACTGTCACAACTCCAGTTTAGGGGATTGCACCATTCCCAGGTGACTTTGGGCAGGTGCCAGGCATGCATGCGGTATATGTACATACATCCAGGCAAAACACACATATAAAATAAAATAAGCAAATCTTAAAAATTTATTTTTAAAATGCTAACAAACATTATTGAAATAATTTCTTAGATTGTATTAAATCATAGTGGAATAAGGTATATAGCTAATTGCAAAAGAGTAAAGAGGAACTGTGGGCTGAGTTAGCTCAGCTAGGAAAATGCTCAATTTGCAAACATGAGGATCCAAGTTTAACCCCCAGCATTTACGTAAATAAAAGCATGCATTACGGTGCTTGCACTTCTTGGAATCCCAGCACCAGTGAGAGAAAAACTGGCGCTTGCCGACCAGCCAGCCTAGTCTAGTTGGCAAGTTCCAGGCTAATGAAAGACCCTTTTTTGTGTTAGTGGTACAGACCTTTACTCCCAGCACTTGGGAGACAGGCTAATATTTGTGAGTTCAAGGCCAGTCTGGTCTACAGAGTGAGTTGCAGGTAACCAAGGCTACACAGAGAAACCCTGTCTCAAAAAACAAACAAACAAAATAAAAAACAAAACAAAAAAACCAACACCCTTCAATAGAAACAAAGTGGATGACATTGAGGTGATGTCTTCTGGCTTGTGAACACACACATGAGATATATACATACTAATGAATGAACAGCTGCTCACTGAAAAAATTAGAGCTGAAATTTAAAAATTCTTGGAAGCACTATTGATCAAAACCTCTGGGGTACCATGAAGATAATTCTAAGAAGATATGTGTCGCTACAACAGCTTCTATATTCCGTGCAGTATTCTAGTTGCTACTCATCTTCTGCCCTTTTGCAAATGTATTCAATTAACGACTCTTGCTTTAAAAAACACAGAGGTATCAAGGTATCAGAAATAACATTGAGCTGAATAATGCACTTCAAGGTCATAGAAAAACAAGAAGAAACCTAACTAACCAAAAATCACTAGAGAGAAATAATTGAGATAGGAAAGAAATTAATGAGATAGAGATATAAGAACAGTACACTAAGTCAGTCAAAGGGCTGGTTTTGAAAAGGTAACTTGATAAACCCTAGGAAAACTAACTGAAAAAAGAAACAACTTGGATTAGTACATTAGAGATGAAAATTGGGGCATTATATCAAGTAACAATGAAGTTCTGAGAAGTATTAGAGAAAACTTTGAATAACCTGTATTCCAGAAGCTGAAGAATTCTGGAAAGAAATGGACAAATGAGCTCACTGAAATAGCATCCAGTCGGTATAACAGGAAAATGCTAGTGTGAATTCTCTTACTCTTTTCTTAGGCAATAAAAGACACAACAATGCACATATATAAAACAAACATTTCAAAATGTAAGAGGCTTCTGGGTCTGGTGCCTCAAAAAAGCTCTTCCTGAAGACCTGAAGCTCTTCAGTTCCCAGCACCTGTGACTCCAGCTCCTGAGGGTTTGACATCCTCTTCTGGTCTTCATGGATACCCAAGTGTACACAGAGTTGCATATAAATAACAATAAATTTGCAAATAATAATAGTAATAATACAGTTTAAAAAAAAAAAACTACTACACCAAAGAAGACACTTAAAGAAAAGATCATCCACACTTATGAGATTGCAAAATTAATACTGTGAAAATGGCTACATTCTTAAAAACAGTCAGGAAATAGTTTCATTCTCATTCCCTTCCGTTGACATTCTTTATAGAACTAAAGGTGCGCTTAAAACTTATGTGGAAATACAAAGTTCCCCAAGTAACTAAAGCAGCCCTAAGTAGGAGGAACAGCAGCGAGGTACTGCACAGAGGCCAGCTACAGCATGTTTTCAACAAAGATGCCAGAGCGTACATGCTGGAGAAAAGGGGGCCTCTTCAAACAAGGTATCCAGCATGGAGAAGGGTAAAACTAATCTCCGTCCATCCCTCATGTCATGCAAAGGCCATCCAAAGTGCATAAAACCTTCTGCGTAAGAGCTGAAACCGAAAGACTCCACTAGCTTAATAACTGATAGCAAGAATTGACAAGTGGTGTTGCATGACGTAAAATTCTTCTACACAGCAAAGGAAACAGAGTGTTCAAAGTGGGAGGAAAAAAAACCTTTGCTAAATCTACACCTTACAGGGAATTACTATGGAGACAAGTACCACGTGTTTTCTTTTATGAAATCTAGGGGTTATAAGGTGTGTGGGGCGACGGGGGGGGGGGGGATGAAGGAGGAGGTAATGGAGAACAACAGAGTGAAATGGAAACAAAAGAAAGACAAATGCCACATATTTTCTCATGCACAATCCAAATCACTCCAAATATACATAGAACATGAAAGCAGAGGGTAACCCTGTAAGGCTGGGGAGAAACCTTAAGGGAGGGGCCACAAATAATGCATGTTTCCTCTCGCTAATGTAAAATTTCATTCATAGGACCCAGTAAAAGAGGGACTACTTGGGAGGAAGAAGGGTTCATCGGGGGAACAGAGGAAAGTAGAGGGGATGAAAATAAAGACCAGTGATGGACTGAGAGCCAGTATATGCTAAGAAAATTAATTCTAATAGTCAAGCAACCTCAACTGTGTCAAAATAGTTGGACAAAGTTTATATTTATATATATATATATGGCGTATGTGCTCATATCCACACTTGTCATCAGTAGGATGCTGACATGGTGTGTTGGCAGTTTTAAAACCACAGATATTAGCAGGCCAGACTCATAGGCTAGGATTCAGAATAAGGAGCTTCGGTGGCTTACCGTTGGTGTCACCCAGGGCATCTAGTGACACCAAAGCAATAACTTTGAAAATAAGATTTTCTTGACTTGGAGTAACTTTTTATGTAATAGT